GTCCCCGCTGCTCAGCCTGCCGCCTGGTCCCCCATGAGGAGCCTGGCCCAGGCCTGGGCGGGCCCCCTCTGAGGGAGCACCTGCCTCCCTCCACTCCCGCCCTGCACCCCTCGGCCTGCTGGAGGGGGGCAGGGGGCCAGCAGGCTGCCGGCACCCCCACAGGAGCAGGGGGCTGGCACTCCAGGGGCTCCCTCTCTGGGGAGACAGGCCGGTTCCTGGGGAGGCCCTGCCTGCACGGCCACTCTGGCTCCAGGGACCCCCGAACCAGCTGTTCTCAGGCCACCAGCCTCCGGGGGCACCCCCAGGCCTCTCCTGCTGGCTCCCCCCACCCCAGCTCCCACACATATGGGGGGCTGCTGCCTGCCCTGGGGCTCCACAGTCAAGAGGCACGGCCCCTCCTGTGGAGCCTGGGGGACCCCGGCTCTGAGAAGGCCCGGCCAGCCACGTCTTCCCTCCAGGTGGGGCCAGCTGGGCCCAGGGTCACCGCCGGCTGAGGGTGCCCAGGGCCTGGTCTCTGGCTGCTTCGGGGCGAGACTTGAAGCCCCAGGGGCCGGCCCGCCTCCCCCACCCCCGAAACCCGGAGCCGGGCCAGGCCCCTCCCCGTGGCCCCCCACCGCCCGGCCTCCTGTTTGTGCGGACAGACCCTTATCAGCGGGGAACACACACAGGAAGTCCGGCCGGGAAGGGCCCATCCCAATCCCGGCTGACTGGGGAGCGGCCATAAAAAGCCGCCCTTCCCGCCCAAAGGCGCTCGGCCCAGCGCCGTCCAGATGCGCAGCCGGAGGGCGGCGGCGGCCGGCGGGCCGGGCGGCCTCGGCAGGTGCCACGGCGCGGCCGGCGCGGGCAGGGGTCCACCCGGGGCCCCCGGCGGCGGCGGCCATGGCCCGGCGGGGGCCCGGGCGGCGTCAGGTATGGCGGGGCAGGGAGCAGGCAGCGGGGCGAGCACCCCGAGGCCCCGGGCCCCGCACCTGCGGCTGCGCCCGACTCCGCTCTCCGGTGCCACCTCCTCGTCCTCCTGCTGTGCCGTCTCCGCGGCACAGGGGCACGCGGGCCCCCGGCGAAGGGCGCCCACGGCTGGTGGCCCCGGAGGAGCAGGTGGGGCAGCGCTGCCCTCCTGGCCGCACCCTGCCTCCGGAGAGCCCCGCTCGCCTCACCCTTCCTCAGACCCCAAGGGTGGGCGAGCACTCCCGGGGGGAGGATGGGAACCCCAAAGCCAAACTGCAGCGGGGATGAGATGTGCAGGGGGGGACCGGGGGGCGGGGGGAGCATGGAGCCCCCAGGCCTGGCCTCGGGGTTCCTAGGCAGAGGGGAGGGCCTGGTGCCGTGGGGTGTGGGCACTCTGTCTGCCCACCTTGGACCCTAGGGAGGCCCTGGGTCCCCCTCTCTGCCCACCCAGAGCGTCCCAAGTCCCACCCAAAGCCCTGAGCCGGGCGTCCCCCCAGCGGCCTGCCTGGCCGGCCGCCCCTGCTGCAGATGGGGAAGCGGGCGGAGAGGACGCGCTGACCCAGCTCAGGCAGGAGGTCAAAGGGTCAGTGGCCCAGCTTCAGGGGCAGGATGGTGGCAGGGGCAGGGCCGCCTCGGGCTAGCCTTAACCCCTTCCTGCCTGTGGCCCGCCAGGCAGGAAGGGGTTAAGAGCTAGCCCGATTGGATTTGGGGCAAAGAGACCAGAGGCGCAGGGTAGGGCCCCCAGCAGCTGTCCCTCCGCCCCGCTGCCCGGGGTGCACCCCCGCCCCCCCCCCCGGCTGTGCTTCCGTCCCGGGCCCAGGGCAGAGCCAACGGCCGGTTGCAGAGAGGGAACCCTGTCGGCCGCAGGGTCACTGTTTACCGGACGGACGGGCAGGCCTGGGAGTCCCGTTCAGCTGGGGCTCCCTGGGGTGGGGGTGAAGGTCCCACAGTGGCTTCGCCCTGACCCTGTCCCCCGGACCCCTGCTCACCCACACTGTCTGCCCTGCAGGCCCCAGGACAGGGGCGGCCTGCGTGGCCCCCGGCACGCGGGACAGCAGCTGCCACCAGCCGCCGGGGCATGACGGAGCCCCCCGCCCCAGGTGAGTGCACAGCCAGCGGCTCTGGGCACTGCAGCTGACCGGGGTCAGGGCAGGAGGGCTGGGGGGGGGGCAGAGCCTGAGGACAGAAATCGCGGAGGGGCAGGCCCAGGGCCCCAGTCCCCAGGGAGGCGCCCTGCCTGGTGCCAGCTGAGTGGCCTGTCCCTCCGTGGACGCCCGCTCCTGGCCACGCTGGCAAACGGGAAATGGAGCCAAGGAGAGGGGACCAGAGGGGACCCCCCAGTCCCCAGCGGAGGCGTGGGGTTCGGTGGGGTTGGGGAGCTCAGAGGCGGCCCCGGTGTCCTGAACTAAGGGGTGCTGGCTCGGCACCCTGCAGGGGCCGAAGCCCTGTGTCACTGGGACCAGCCGTGACCTCCCGGGAATAAGGGGTCCGGGGCCTTGGGGGTCATGTGAGCCCCTCGGCTCAGTGGATGCTCAGCCTCCGCGGAGCCAGTGGCCAGCGTGGCCCCCGCGGCTCCAGGTGCCCTCCCAGCGGCTCGGCCCGGGTGTCCGCCGCTCGGGGCCGGCGGGGGCCGGAGCCTCGGCTCAGCTGCCTCCTCCCCTGCCCCCGGGCCTCAGTTTCCCCGTCCGCGCGGGGCGGCGGGGCCGGGCCGGGGCGGGCGCAGGTGGGGCGGGGCCGGGGCGGGGCGGCCTCGGCGCGGCGGCGGCGCGGCGCGTGCGCGCCCGGACGGGCGGTGAGTGCGGCGGAGCGGGGAGCGGGGGGCCGGGCCCGGGGATTGGGGAGCCCGGGCCCGGGGATTAGGGGGCCGGGGGCGGGGGGCCGGGAGCGGGGATTGGGGGCCCGGGAGCGGGGCCGGGGCGCGCAGGACGCTGGGGGCGCGGAGGGGGCGGCGGGGTCGCTGACACCGCGGTCCGGTCCGGCCCGGCCCGGGTCGGCAGAATGGGCCCAGCGGCCGCGGGGAGGGCGCCCCCTGCTGGTGACGGCGCCGGGCCGGCCTCGCGGGGAGGGGGCCGCACCCCGGAGCCCAGCGGAGCGGCCCTCCGCTGTCCCCTCCCGCCGCGAGGCCGGCCCGGGCGGAGGCGCAGCCCGGTGGGTCCGATGCCGTGGGTCCGCCTGGCCCCTCCGCCTCCCGGGGACCGGACCCTCTCCCCGGGCCAGGCCTCCCCTCCCGGGGGCTCCGGGGGCGGCCCGGCAGGAGGGGCAGCGCTGGGCAGGGCTCACGCTGGCACTGGGGGGCAGGACACTTGTTCGGGGACCTGGAGGCCCCCCATCAAGGGGAGTGAGTCTGCCAGCCCAGCACGGACCGGGCTCTCCTGCTGCCTCTGGCCGGGGCAGGACTGTCCATTTCCTAACCCGCCCTCCTCACCCGCTGAGGGCGGGCAGCTGTCTGCGGGAGGCGGCCCGTCCGGGAGGGGAGCTCAGGTCCCTCGAACCCTGGCACGGCCCTGCGCTGCCACCGCCGCCTCCCAGGCGCCGACCCTCCGGCCCTGCCAGCACCGCCGAGAACCCGCTGCCCCCACACCAATCCTGCCGCCTCGCCCTCCCCGGCCACAGAGAGGGGGTTCAGGGGCCCCGCTGCCTTTCTGCCCGGTGGGCTGAGTGAGGCGAGCTCCCCGCTGAGTGGCCACGCGGACGACCAGGGCGCCCCTCTCCCCCCGATCCCCTCAGCCGCTGGTGGGCGGGCGCTGTAGCTGCTCACGCGGTCACCGTTTTGTGGGACTGACCCCAGGGGCGGAAACAGCCGGAGAAGGGTCCGCCTGACTGACTGCACACTCACACACACACTCACACGCTCACACACACACGCTCACACACACACACACACACACACTCACTCACACACACACACACACACACACGCGCACACACTCACACACACACACGCTCACACACACACACTCACACACACACACACACACGCTCACACACACGCACACACTCACACACACACACTCACACACACACACACGCTCACATACACGCACACACTCACACACACACACTCACACACACACACACGCTCACACACACGCACACACTCACACACACACGCTCACACACACGCACACACACACACATGCACACTCCCATGTATGCACACGTGCACACACAGATACACACATGCACGTACACTCGCACACACGCATGCACACGCATGCACACATACACTTGCACACCACAGCAGCTTCTTTCTGGGTCTTCCCTGCTGGGGGCCTGCAGGGCCAGGCCAGCAGAGGGGCGGGGGGGGGGGGGGACTCCGGCCCTTGGGGCCTGGGGGGGGTGGTGCTCCTGGAACACAGAGCCAGGAGCTCCCGGCTCCCCAGGCCCTGGCGCACAGTGCAGAGCCCCGCCCCGCCCCGCCCCGCCTGTGCAGCCCGCCTCCAGGCCCGGGAGCTGCAGACCGTTAACTCCGCCGGCTCCTCACATTCCCAGAGCCCACCCCTGGCTCCTGCCCCCATCCCCCCCCCCCCGGGGCTCCGCGGCTTCACCCACTGCAGGGGGGCCCAGGCGCTGTCTGGGGTGCTGGCACAGTACTCGGACTGGTACCCCCAGCGTAGGAGTCCGCAGCCCCTCCCCCTCTGAGGCCCCAGCATCTGCGTGCCCTGTGCCCGCCCCCGGGGCAGACGCCCACACTGCTCATGCCGGTTCCCCCAGGGGCCGCTGAGGCCAGGAGGCCAGGCCCGCTGGGCTGGGGTCCAGCTCTGCCCACTCACCCCCTTCGGCGGGCTGAGATTGGGGTGCAGGTGCTCCCCTCCCTGCCCTGCCATGGAAGGAAGCTGAGCCCCCGAGGCTGCAGGGCCAGGTGCCCCGGCCCCGGCGAGGTGCTGGTCCGGCTGCAGCGTCCCCTGTGGGTCGGGGGGCTGTGTGGCGGGAGCGGCTTTGGGAGGGGCGGTCCCCGGGAGCCTGGGTGCCGGGAGTCTGCCCGGGACTCAGCGCGCTGCCCTGTGCTGCAGGCCACCCCGAGGAGAAGGCCGAACCCCCTGCAGGCGCGGGCCATGGCGGGCTGCCCGGCGCTGCTGCTGCTGTGGGCGCTGGTGCTGGCGGCGGGCGGCACGGAGCTGGTCTACAGGCCTGGGTGAGCGCCCTCCCTGGCAGCCCTGCCCGGTGCCCGTGTCCCAGAGCTGGGGGGTCCCGGCCCTGAGCCCCCGCTGACTCACCCCCCCTTCCAGCCGCCGGGTGTGTGCCGTCGGGGTTCCTCAGGGCCCCGTGACCGAGTCCTTCCTGCAGCCCATGTACCAGCCCTTCCTCACCACCTGCGGCGGGCACCGCGTCTGCAGCACATACCGGTGAGTGCCCGCCGCCCGCCTGCCGCGCGCCGGGCCCGGGGAGGGCAGTGCACCCCGAGGGGGAGGCGGCCAGGGCAGCAGGAGGGCTCCCGAGGCCATGCGGAGCCGGCGGCGGGCTGGCCTGCCTGACGTGGGCCTCGCTCATCGCCCTCCTCGTTCTTAGAAGGGTCCCCATCCTGTGTGCCGTCTCCATGTTGGGGTGTTCACCCACCCCCACCCGGGCACCACTGGTTCAGGTTCTGTCCTCGGGGTGACACCGCCTCAGTGCCCAGGTCCTGCCCTCGGGATTCCCATGGGCACCCCTCGCCCTACAGCCCCGTGGGCACCCCTGGAGGGTGTATCTGTCCCCACGGGCCTCCCTGTGCCCGTGGCCGGTGGGGGGCACGTGGCCCCGATCTCGGCATTGCAGATGTGCCTTAAACATCTGTCCCTGAGTCCCGGCCCTGAGCCCAGTCCCGGTCCTCCCCTAGCTGCCAGCCGGGCCTGGTGCTGGGGCTCTGCACTCACAGCCTCGCTCAGGGATGGGGGCAGGGCGCACCCCCAGCAAACCGGGGAGCCCAGCGGGTTCTGTACTGACCCGGCACCCCTCCGCTCAGGGCCCCATCCCCCCTGCAATAGGGGCGCCCGCCCTGTGCCAGACACAGCGGCTCCCTGCCGCCTGAGTCCCCTCAGCCCTGCACAGGGCGGGACGTGGCTGTTCGTGACCCTCACGCTGTCCAGGGGAGCGGCTCCGGGGACCCAGCGGCCGCCTGTCCACAGGGGAGACGGCTGGTGGGGCTCCTGGAGGCTCAGCCCAGGAAGGCAGGAGCTCTGGCAGCAGCCGGCCCCTCTGAGCTGCCTTCCCACCCCCCTCACTCACCAGAACCATCTACAAGACTGCCTACCGCCGCCGCCCCGGGCCGGCCCCCGCCAGGCCGCGCTACGCCTGCTGCCCCGGCTGGACGCGGACCCACGGGCTCCCCGGGGCCTGCGGAGCAGGTGAGGCAGCCACCGCCCCGCCCGGCCCCGGCTCAGCACCTCCTCTCCCCTCCAAACCCCCCCTCTTGCTGCACCCCTTCCAGCTGCCCCTCCCTCCCTGGGCCCGGGGCCTCCCCTGAGTGACAGCCCCCCCCCCCAGCGATATGCCAGCCGCCGTGCCAGAACGGAGGGCGCTGTGTCCAGCCGGGACGCTGCCGCTGCCCGGCCGGGTGGCAGGGAGGCAGCTGTCAGACAGGTGAGGCTCGTGCCCCCGGGGAGGGCCCTTGGGGTGGCCTCTGCTGGGCCTGCCTGGACCCCCCCCCCAGACCTCCAGGCTCAGGCCCCTGCCGGACCCCCTCCCGCAGACGTGGATGAGTGCAGCGCCACGGGGGGGGGCTGTGCCCAGCGGTGTGTCAACACGGCCGGGAGCTACTGGTGCCAGCGCTGGGAGGGGCACAGCCCCCCTGCGGACAGGGCGCTCTGCCTGCCCAGGAGAGGGCCCCCCGGGGCGGCCCCGAACCCCACAGGAGGTAAATCCCCCACATGTCCCCTTCCCCCTGCTGCTGCGCTGGGGGGCCGGGCGGGGGGCGGGGCAGAGGGCTCGTCCTCAGGGGAGGGCTGGTGGCGGGTCTCCAGGCTCTGGGGGAGGGGTGCGGGGGCATCTCAGCCAGAGAGGAGGCAGGCCCGCCGCCCGTCCCCCCGCCGCCAGGACGCCCTTCGCTGGCGACGGGTCATTATTACTTTTGGTACGCGCTGTGACACTCAAACTCGTACCGTGAGTAATAATGCGCTGTCGGCAGCCCGGCACCGGAGCGTCACGGACTCACGGACCCCTCGGCGCGGCGGACCCCTCGGCGCGGGGGACCCCTGGGTGCGGGGGACCCCTGGGTGCGGGGGACCCCTCGGCGCGGGGGACCCCTCGGCGCGGGGGACCCCTCGGCGCGGGGGACCCCTGGGTGCGGGGGACCCCTGGGTGCGGGGGACCCCTGGGTGCGGGGGACCCCTCGGCGCGGGGGACCCCTCGGCGCGGGGGACCCCACGGCGTGGGGGACCCCTCGGCGCGGCGGGGACCTGCACCCAGGCGCTCGGGGTGGGGCTGCGTCTGCCCAGGGCCACCCCCAGACCTCCAGGCGGCCCTGGGGGGCAGTGGGAACCCAGAGGAGGGGAGGGGCTCCCACACCCAGGTAGGGCCCCCCCTCAGCCCCCGCGTCTCCCCAGGAGCGCCCGGGGAGGTGCAGGAGGAGGTGCAGAGGCTGCGGTCCCGGGTGGACGTGCTGGAGCAGGTGAGGCTGGGGGGCCGGGGTGGGGGCAGCCCCCGTGTCTGTCCGTTGTGTTCAGTGGGGAGGGTCCCCCGATACTGACAGCCCAGGGGGCCCCTGGGCCTGGGCTCCATGCCGGGCGGGGCAGCGGGAGAGGACGGGACCCCACAGGAGGGGCTGAGAGCTCGGCCCCATCCCTCAGGCCACAGAGAACCTGAACCCAGGCCCTGTCACCCCCTTTGTCCCCGGGGGGCAGTGTCCTTCCCACAGGGCCATCGGCCTGACACCCCAAGGTGCTCCCGCCCTCAGGGGCCTGGGCCCGGCTGGCCCGGCTGCACCCACAGGCCTCTGGCTCTCCTGGCGCAGTCGCTCCCTCTGGTGGACGCCCGGGGCCCTGCAGCTCGAGCTGCAGTGGGGACGGTGGGCACCGCAGTTTCCCTGAGGCCTGTGGGCCGGAGAGGGGAGGGCCCCGTCCGGGCCACCCGCCCTGACCCTGCCCTGGCCCAGGCCGCCCTGGCCCTGGCTGCCCTAACCCAGGCCCTGGCCACCCTGGCCCTGGCCGCCCTGGCCCTGGCCGCCCTGACCCTGGCCGCCCTGCCCTGGCCTCCGGGCCCCGCAGAAGCTGCAGCTGGTGCTGGACCCCCTGCACAGCCTGGCCTCGCGGGCGCTGGACCACGGGCTGCGGGACCCCGGCCGCTTCCTGGCGCACTCCTTCCAGCAGCTGGACCGCATCGACTCCCTGAGCGAGCAGGTGTCCTTCCTGGAGGAGCAGCTGGGGTCCTGTGAGTGCCTGAGCCCCCCCCCCCGCCTGCTCCCCCCCAGCGGGGCCAGTCCGGGCCCACAGGCCAGAGGGTGGGGCACATAGGCTGGCCTGGCAGTGGTGGGAGCAGTGACCTCTGACCTCAGCCCCCCCCCCCACAGGTTCCTGCAAGAAGGAGCTGTGACGGGCGCCTCCTCGCCAGCCAGCTCTGCACCCCCTCCCGGGAGGAGCGGGGCGGGCGGGCCGAGGGGTCCTCCTGGGTGAACTCAGCCCTGCACCCCGCAGCCCGCCCAGGGCAGGGCGCCAGCCGGGGCCTCGGGGCCACTGAGCCGCAGGGTGTCAGCGGGGACCCCCCGACCTTCGTCAGAATAAAATGAACTTGAAGAGCTGCCGTGTCCGTGTGGTCGTGGGGGGCGGGCGTGTGCTGGCCGGAGGGAGGGCTCCAGCCCCTGGGCCCACCTGGGGGGGGGGGTCTTGGTCCCGCTCTGAAAAGGGCTGGAGCAGTGGCTTCTGGGAAAGTAACACAAGCCAGAGATGCTGCCTCCTGGTGGTGACAAGGTGCCCGCCCCTCGCCAGTAGCCAGAGAGGAACCTTCAGCCTCCTGCCCAGTGCCCACCAGGCCTCGGGGCGCGCTGTGGCCCCTTCACCTGCGGGCCCAGCCCGGGGGGTGGGGCTGGAAGGCTCCAGACCCCGTGCGCCGCCCGCCCTCCGAGTGACCACACCTCACCAGGCACTTGCAAGAGTCCATTTATAAAAACAACCCTGTGCGCCCGGCTGGTGGTTCAATGGTCAGCGCGCCAGCCCTCGGACGGAGGGAGGAGCCCCAGGTTCGGGTCCCAGTCAAGAGCGGGCACCTCCGTTCCAGGCTCAGCTCGCAGCCCGGATCGGGGGGCGTGTGGGGGTCGGGGGGCGTGTGTCTCTCTGCCACTCCCCCCTCCGGCTCTCGGAGAATCAATGGAAAGAGAATCCTGGGGGAGGATTGACCACAACGAAAAGCCATGTGCCGTTCGGATTCAGTATTCGTGCCCCAGGCCGCCTGATGCAGGCGGGGGGAGCCCGGCCCCGGCAGGGACACCAGCCCGGCAGGGACACGGGCAGTGGAGGCCGGGGGGGAAGGCCCGCGCTGGGCAGCAGGAGAGAGAGCCGCTGGCCTGGGGCGGGAGGACGCGGGGTCCCCCGGCGCCGGCGGTCACTGGGCGGCCTGGGCGGCGGGCGGGGCGGGCGGGGCGGCCGGCTCCGGGGCCCCGTTCTCCTGCGGGGGCTTGGACAGGCGCAGGAAGGCGGTGCGCATGGCGCGGTGGCAGGTGTCCATGAGCGCGGGCACGTCGTCCACGGTGAGGCCGCTGGTGGGGATGGGGTCCAGGACCTCCACCTGGATGGTGCCTGCGAGGGGCTGGCGTCACGTCCCGCCGTCCCCGCCGCCCCGGCTCCCCGCCCCGGCTCTCCCGGCCCAGCGCCAGCCGAACCCTCCCCCATCTCTCCCTCCCCCATCCCTCCCTCCCCCTTCCCTCCCCCATCCGTCCCCCTGTCCCTCTCTCCCCCATCCGTCCCCTCCCTCCCCTGCCCCCACGGTCACTGCCTGGCAGCGGCCCGGGCGCTACCTGAGGTGAAGAGCTTTGTCCGGGAGTTGTAGAAGGAGGAGAAGCTGGAGTACACCACGGGGACCACGGGCACCTGTGGGGACACGCCTCCTGAGAAGGGCCCGATCCCCCTCCCCAGGGCGAGCCCCGGGGCGCCTGCCTTGCCACCTGGCCTGGGGATTGCCCCCGAAGCACAGTCAGTCCATCAGCTCACTCTGAGCTCCTTCACCCGCGTGTCGCCGGCTCCGGGAAGCCTTCCTAGGTGGGCACACGCCCACCTGATTCAGACCTGTGCCCCCCACTGGGTCCTGAGATTTCCTCCCCGGCCCCCCCCGGGTCCCGGGAAGGGGGCAGCACCAGCAGGGGCAGGGGCAGGGGCGAGGCAGGGCCGGCAGGTGCCCCTGGATAGCACCAGGTCAGCCCACTGGCGCCTGCAGTGGAGGAAATGGCACCCGGGCTAATCATTAACCCTGCGGTTACCTCTCCCAGGCAGGGGCACCACAGAGCTCTGGGCGGGAGGGGAGAGAGGGGGAGGGGAGGGCTGGAACCCAGGGAGGGAGGTGGAGGTGACATCTTGCCCCTGTCCCAGCACCCCTCCGCCTCCCCACCACCCCTCCCCCATCCCCCTCCTCCACGCCCTCCCCCACACCCCAGCCAAGGGAAGTGACATCACCCACCTGCCAGCGTCTGCACCCATGGCATTAGCCGGCGGGAGGGGGCTGGCAGGGTAGGGGGTGGCTTTGCTCAGGGCCAGCACTGGGGGGCGCTAGAGGCCACCTGTCACCGGTGGAAGACAGACCAGCTGTCGCCCCCACCTTGGGTTTCCCTACACGAACCCCAGCACCAGCGGGGGGGGGGGGACCCCACCACCAGGAGGCCCCGCCCACCAGGGGACCACCTGATGCCAAGACCCCTCTGGACACCCCCCCCCCGCCCCAAAGGACCCTCCTCATGGGGCAGGCCCAGGGGGGAGGGTGGTGAGGCCCTGCACCGCCCAGGAGGAGGGTCCCCGCCTAACCAGACCGACGCCCCCCGCCCCCCGCCCCCCGGAGGCGCCCACGCACCTGGGCCTGCACGGCCAGGTAGAAGGCGCCCTTCTTAAAGGGCAGCAGGTCCCCGTTGTCGTTGCGTGTGCCCTCGGGGTAGATCCACACTTTGAGCTGCGGGAGAGAGGAGGCAGCTGTGGGGCGGAGGGAGGCCGTGCCCTCCCTCGTGGGGAGCCCTCACAGCGCAGCCCTGCCCCCTGCCTGCCGGCGTGCAGTCTGCAGACACGAGGACGTGGGGTTTGTTGTTGTTTTTATTTAATATATTTTATGGATTTTTCACAGAGAGGAAGAGAGAGGGCTAGAGAGTCAGAAACATCGATGAGAGAAAACCACAGATCAGCTGCCTCTTGCACACCCCCTCCTGGGGATGGAGCCCACAACCTGGGTACATGCCCTTGACCGGAATCGAACCCGGGACCCCCTCAGTCTGCAGGCTGACGCTCTATCCACTGAGTCAAACCGGCTAGGGCTGTTTTTAATAAAGTTTTATTTACGTCAGAGAAGAGGGAGAGGGAGGGAAACATCCATGATGTGAGAATCATGGACCGGCTGCCTCCTGCACGCCCCCCTGGGGATGGAGCCCACAGCCCGGTGTGTGCCCGACCGGGAATGGAACCTCCCGGTTCACGGGTCGATGCTCAGCCCCTGAGCCCCGGGGAGCGGCCTGTGCGGCTGCTCTGCCCCGCCCCCGCCCCCGCCCCCGCCGGCCACTCACGTTCTCCCTCAGCATGAGCTGGCCCACGTCAGCCATGACGCTCATGGCGGTGCTGGAGCGCTGCCTGTTGATGAAGAAGACGCCGCCCAGGTACATGATGAGGCCCACGGGGCCCGTGAACAGCAGCTCCCGCTTGGCGATCTGGACACAGCGTGGCGGCAGCACCTCCATGAGGCCTGGCGGGGTCACGGCGGGGGGGCTCAGCGCCGGGCCGCCCCCAGGAGCCGCGCGGCCCTGCCCCGGACCAGCCCCGGCTGCCTGGAGTCTCACCCACTCGCCCGCCCGCCCGTCCATCCGTCCGCCCACCCAACGGCCCAGCCGGGTTCCCGCCGGGAAAGGGGTGTGGACAGGGCGCCCGGCGGTGGGTGAGGAGGGCGGCCCCCTGGCCTGTCGCCCCCTCCCCTGCCAGCTCCTCTGGGCCCGCCTCCCCCCCCCCCGGGGCCCAGGCCTGCCCGGCACCTACCCATCATGTCCAGGATGCTCTGGTGGTTGGACACGATGACGCAGGGCCGGTCCTTCCACAGCTCCTCACGCCCCTTCACGGAGAAGCGGAGGCCGAACAGGTACTTGAAGGTCCGCACGAACCAGCTGATGATGCTGGGGGGGGAGGTGCCGGTGAGCGGGGGCCGCTGGGTGGGGTAGAGGAGACCACGGGGCCCCCCTCGCTCTCACGGCCGGCTCCTGGCTCCGGGGCCAGGGCCACGGAGGCTGCCACGGCCACCCATCGCCACCAGACAGGAGGGAGCGGCCTCGGGGACAGACACCCCGCGGAGAGGGTGTCCTGCTTACCCCCTGTATCCCAGGAGCTGCCAGCCCTCAGCCCGCACCCCTGCCCGCCGGAGCCCCACAGACAAGCTGGGGGCGGTTCTCAGCCCTGTCACCCAACCCCGAGAGGTCCCTGCGCCCCTGGAGGCCGGGCCACCCACCCACACCCTCCAGGGGCCCCCCAAAGAGTGCCACGCCAGGAAGTGAGCGCTGGCGCCGAGTGGGGGAGCACGTGAGCAGCTAAAGCCACTTCTGAGCCCACGGGAGGCCCAGGAGGCGCTGTGGGCAGCGACCGGCCCTCACGCCGTGCCCGCCTCAGAGCAGGGCCAGGTCCTCCCCAGAGGACAGGCGGGAAGGTGGCCCCCGCGGTCACGGTCACGGGGGAAAGCGGTGGAGTCAATGCCGTGCCCCGCCCGGGCTTAGGGGCCTGGCCCCAGCGGCACCTCGTGGCCATGACTGGGTGCACCGGGCACCTGTGCCTGTCACGCCCTCGCCGCCCGGCGCTGTGTGTGGCAGCGGGCAGGCGGGCACACAGGAGGGCAGCCTGGCGCCTCGCTCTGGGACGCCGTGCTCACACCTGGAGGGGGCGGCCCTTGGTGACAGAGCCCAGGGCGAGCTCCCTGCGCGGCGGGTCCCTCCCACCCCGTCCCGCTTCTCCCGGAACCCCGTGCCCGTGCCCGTGGCCCGGACCCTGCCGGAAAGAGGGCTGCCCGCTGGACCCAGGCGCGGCCCCCTCACCACCATCCTCTCCAGGGTGTCCAGCTGCCAGACACCGTCCCCAGTAAGCACCCGCCCACCCTGCCCAGCCCCGCACCCTGGGAACCAGGAGGTCATGGCTTCAATCCCCAGGGGGGGCCAGGGGAGGGTATGCAGGAGGCAGCTGATCAGTGATTCCCTCTCCTCATTGGTGTCTCTCTCTCTCCCTCTCTCCCTTCTTCTCTAAAATCAATGAAAACATATTTTACCAAAACAAACACGTCAATGCCCATCACTCAGACGCCCTCCGGCCCCCCTTTGCTCCCAGGAGGGCTGTCAAGCACGAGCGGGGGGGCCGGAAGATGAGGGATCTGGACCCCTGTCCCAGGAGGGGAGGGGGGCGTGACCGTCACGAGGGTCCATCTCGCAGCCCCTGCACCACATGGGGCTCCGCCTGCGACCCCCTGGATCCCCAACGGCTACCCTGCTGCCCCGCCTTCTGCACCCAGACCCTCAGCCACCCGCCTCCTGCTCCCCGCACGCAGACCCCGGGCCCCCGGGCCCGCCCGCCTCTCGCACGCAGACCCCCAGCACAGCGTTCCTCCCAGAATTCCCAGGGGTGACGGGCGCCCCCATAGCAGGCCCTTCCCCATGGCCTGGGGCCCGGCTCCTTGAGACCCTTCCTGGTTTTGTTCAGGAGCCGCTGCTGCCCGCGTCCGGCGCCTGACCCTTCTCGCCAGCTGGGCCCGCGGGACCGGAGGGCCTCCTGGCACAGGTGCGCCCGGCCAGGACAGCTGGGCCCTCGCTCGAGGTCAGACAGCCCTTCGCACCGGCTGGGAACCTGGGCAGTGCCCTTGGCCTCCCTCAGTGCGTAGCCAGAGGGACTGAGTCCGCTGAGGCTGGGGTCCCGGGACACCGGGGTCCCTGGGCTGTGAGGTCAATGCCTCGGGCAGACAAGAGCCCAAAGGAACAACAGCAGATCCGCCCCCACGGCCGCAGGCACCCCCTCCCCTCCTCTGCTGCCCCCCTGCCCTCCACTCAGGCCCAGACTACCTGTGACCTTTGTCCTCGGCCTTACTGGCTTTGGCCAACATGTGCCTGCCCTGGGCCAGCCCCCAGAGCTAGGGATGGGGGCGGGGGGGCAGCCCCGCCAGGAGCCCCGGTTCCGCTCCGCAGACAGGAGGCCCCAGCGAAGCCACCTGCCAGAGTTGGGGTGTTTTCCAACAGGTGTCATGTGAGCTGGGGCACCAGGCGGGGACGAGAACCGGGCTCTGTGGGGTGTAGGGGCCCAGGTGCTGAGAGGGGAGTGCAGAGGGGAGTCCGGGAAGCCCTCCGGCCTGCATTGAGGAGCATCTTGGGGCCCCCAGGCCCAGGGGAGAGCTGGTCCCAGCAGGACAAGGGTGGCCATCCCCCCGCACCCCGCACCCTCCCTCCCCTTCGCCCAGGGCCACACAGGCTCCAGCACGCTGGCTCAGAGCTGCCATGCGGAGGTCAAACCCAGGCCAGCACCGACACCCCCTCCTCGGTGCTTTGCGTGGGCACAGCCTACACTGGCCGAACCCCGCACCCCCGCCTCTGCCGCTCAGTGCCGTGCCCAGCTCGTGGCCCTGGCATGGCGCAGAGCATGTGGCCGGTCCTCAGGCGAGAACAGCGGGCAGAGGGGCCGGGGCTGCCTGGCCTGGGGCCGCCCCTGGGGCTCCGGTGGTGTCTGAGAACGTGGACCCGGGTTCAGCTGCTCTCGGGGTTTCCGACCCACCACACGCTTCCCTGGCCTCACCTTCCTCTCTGTCACACGGGGGCGACGGGACACCTGTCTCCCAGGACAGCACCCCCGGCCCGGGGGCCCTTGGTCTCAGCCTGTCACTGCTCCCAGCGCCATGGAAGTCAAGGCTAAAGCAGCGGCCCCCCAGGTGCCCACGTGGGGCTCAGGACACGGCCCTTGGAGGACAGTGAGCACAGCAAGGGCTGGGGCTGGAGACCGGCACCCGGGGACTCAGAACCGAGGCTCAGCCCCACACACACACCTCTACCTCTTCCTCCTCCTCCTCCTCCTCCTCCTCCTCCTCCTCCTCCTCCTCCCCCGGGCCAGGCCCCTAGAGCCACCCAGCACCTCCTCACCTCAGTCTCACAGCCACAGCCCTCTGCAAACCCAGGTGCTCAACGCCCCGCCCTGCCATGACTGCGAGTCATCCCTGCGACGCGCCTGTGGGGTCTGGGGCACAGGCTGTGGGTTCCGGGCCCCCAGGCCCACCTTCTCCCAGGGGAGGGAGGGGCAGAGGCTCCTGCCAAGCACCATCAGGGCCCCCAGGGTCCCCAGGAACACCCCGCTGCACAGAGCCACACGTGTGGCCGGGGGCTGAGGAGAGCCCCCCCCAGGCAGCCGCGGCCAAGGCCGGCCAGGCCCAACCGCCACTCAGAAACTTTGGACTTGACCTCTTGACCCAGGAAAGCAGCTCTGAATGCAGGTTCCTCTTGACAGAGGCAGCGGGGCCTTTTATTTTTTTTTTATTTTATTTTTTACAGAGAGGAAGGGAGAGAGATAGAGAGCTAGAAACGTCGATGAAAGAGAAACATCGACCAGCTGCCTCTTGCATACCCCCTACCGGGGATGTGCCCACAACCAAGGTATTATACATGCCCTTGACCGGAATCGAACCTGGGACCTTTCAGACCGACACTCTATCCACTGAGCCACACCGGCTTCGGCCCAGCGGGGCCTTTTAACAGACAAGGGAGCCGCTCAGCACGAGGCCACCTGATGGCACGGTGTGGGGGGGCGGGGAAGAGGGGTGTCAGCTCCAGGGCCTGCCGTCACTCTTGCTGGAAACCAGCTCTGAGCACAGCTCCCCTGCACCCCAGGGCCCCTCCTGCCTCTGAGCCGGACAGGCCAGCCCTGGACCCAGCGCCCCCTGACCTCCAGGCCCAGGCCGGCCGACATGGGGCCTACTGTTTCCTGAGAACCGCCCGGAGGACTCCCCGGGACGCCTGGCTCCCTGGGCCGCTCCCTAAGACGCAGCCCGGGCCGCGGGCGGGGGCACGTCTCACTGAGCACCCCTACTTGGAGGCCCCCCACTCGGAGCCCCGTACCAGTCACTATTCCCTGACCGCGGGGCGGGGACCCACGCAGCGGGTCTGGGACGCGGACAGAGACGGCAGCGGCCAGGCCACTGGGTGGTGGGGGGCACGGCCACTGTCCCCACACAAGGTCACAGCCAAGAGGCTATTGCAAAACCCAGTCAGCCACCGCAGTGCCGTCCAGAAAGGGGTGAGCTGTGCGCAGGGCAGTATCGTAATCGCAGCCAATGAGGTTTACGGGAGGCAGGCGCGTTTATTGCTAATTGAAAAGTAAAAGAATCGGGGTGAAAGGGCAGCCCCCTCCGCGCCCCGCCCCAGCCTTTGCCCCGAAAGGCCTTGACTCGCCGGTCAGCCCGCCAGGGCCTCCGCTCCCTGCCCTCGCCCTCGCCCAGCACCGCTCCCGCCGGGCGGCTCCCGGAGGAAAATTCCAGCCGCCACCCCTTCCTTCCCCGGCTGAGGCCGGACCCCAGGGCCAGCCCTGCCCCCTCCCCTCCCCGTCCCCTTCCAGGACGGAGGAAGGGCGCGGGAGGAGGGACCTGCCGGAGGAGCCGGGACCAGGTGCCAGGGACCAGGTGCCAGGTGGGCGGGCGGAGGGTGCAGAGGCGGGACGGCAGGTGCCCCGGCGCGCGCGGCCCAGCAGGGGGCGGTGTGGCGCCGTCCCGGCCTCGGTTTCCCCGCGTGGCCCGGCCCTTTCCTCCCGCCAAGCAGCTGCGCCACCTCCGCCCCGCGCCCCGCGCCCCGCGCCCCTCGGCCGGGCGCAGGGACGGGGGCGGCGGCGGCGCCGGGACCTGTTGCAGCCGCCCGCGCCGGCCGGGCCTCGGCAAGGACGCGGGGACATTGTGACGCGGGTCCCGGGGACCCGCCCCCCGCCGCTCCGGGGCCGCCGCCGGCCCGCGCCCGAGCCCGGGAGCCGGAGACGCGGCGGGCAGGAAGGAGGGAGCGCGGAGAAAGTTGGGGAAGCGGAAGCCGCGGCGGCGCGCCCGCCCGCCCGGCCTCCTCCCCGCGGCGCCGGCCCGGCCCCCCTTGCCTCATGTTGTCCACGGTGCGGCCGCCGTGGCGCAGCAGGCAGACGGCGGCGGCCAGGATGGAGACGGAGAAGCAGAGCGCGCAGTACAGGCTGATCTGGGCGTAGAAGCGCGCCGCGCGGCTCAGCTGCAGCAGCAGCAGCAGCAGCAGCAGCGCCGCCGTCAGCCACGGCCACGGCTCCATGGCGCCCGGCCCGACGGCCCGGCTCCCTCCGCTGCCTCCGCTCCCGCTGGGCAGCGGCCGCGGGCGCGAAGCCGACTCCTGGCGCCGGCGGCTGCCGTCCCGCCCCGCCCCGCCCGCGCCCCTTATTGCGAGGCCCGAGGGGCGGGGCGCGGGGCGCGGGGCGGGGAGCAGAGCGCCTAGGTGCGCGGCGGCCTCCGCTCCCGCCGCCCGGCCCGTCCCGCCCCGGCCCCGGCCACCCGGCCCTCCGACCCCGGGCCGCCCCCGGCCCCCTCCGCCCCCCGATCCCCGCCCCCGGCCCCCTCCGCCCCCCGATGCCCGCCCCCGGCCCTCCGACCCCGGGCCCGCCCCCGGCCCCCTCCGCCCCCCGATCCCCGCCCCCGGCCCCCTCCGCCCCCCCATCCCCGCCCCCGGCCCCCTCCGCCCCCCGATGCCCGCCCCCGGCCCCCTCCGCCCCCCGATGCCCGCCCCCGGCCCCCTCCGCCCCCCGATCCCCGCTCCCCGGGCCCCGCCCCCGGCCCCCTCCGCCGCCGGAGCCCCGGCCCGCCCGCGCCACGCCCCCTCCGCCGCCGGGTCACCTCGCTACGGGCGCGCGGCCCCTCCCGGCCGGGCCGGGCGTCCTGGCCGCCGGGTGGCTGGATCGGGCGCCGCCCCCGCGGTCCGGCCTCTCCCCGCCCGGCCCGCGTCCCGCCCCGGCCCGGCGCCCTCTGCCACCGGCGCCCGCGCCCAGACCACAGCTCCCCGGCGCCCCAGGAGGCGGCCCCCTGGCCACCGGTGGCCACACCAATGGCCCGTGGGCCGCGCCCTGGACCGGCAGCCTGCCCCTCGGGCCCCTCCAGCAACTTCAGGGACCAGCCGGCCTTGGGGACCTCCCCTGAGGCTGCTGGGGGCGCACCCCTTCAGGAGGGGGAGCAGCTGGAACGGGCGTGTGTCTGGGCGGGGCCGGGGTGCCAGCGCTGGGTGCCAGGAGCAGCGTCACCCGCCGCTCCTGGGGCCGGGCCAGGGGCAAATATCAGGCGACTGTGTGTCCACACAGCCCGGCCCCAGGAGGACGGGGCAGCTAGCGGGCAGGTGGAGGGCAGGCCCGGGCTACCGGCTCGCAGAGCAGATTGGAGTTTTGAGACCAAGTCGCCCCCTCCCCCAGTCTGGTCCACCTGCCACCCGCGGGGTTGGCCCAGCGTTTGGGGGGCGGGGTTCGGCCGTGCCCACCTCGGGGTTATTGACACTGTCCCGCCTCTTCCTTCTTCCAAAGGCCGCGGTGACCTGTGGCTGACATGAGTCACTGCCCCCCCCCCCCCCCCCGCGAGCGGGGACTCTGGCCGGGCAGGTGGGCTCCTGCGGGCTGGCCGGCCTCACAGGTGGCAGCTGTTCCGGGCGGGGCGGGGCTGCCGGGCACCTGCGGGCGCTGCGCAGGGCGGCTCCGGGCCTTCTGGCCGCGCTTCGTACCGGCTCAGAGAACCACTTGTTGACATCAGTCAGAGGAAGGCAAGGATCACATGGTCACACTCACGTGTGGGCTCTAAGGAGTGGATCCGAGGCGTGGGGGCAGCGGGAGGCCAACGCTAAAGGACCGTATGTGCGCGGCCTGTGGCCTCAGGCCCGGGTGGGGAGGGCCGGGCGGGCTGGGGGGGTGAGGGAGGGCGAGGGGACATATGTAACGCTTCCAACAATTCCTTTTTAAAAAGTAAAAAAATAAAGAGACTGCTTGTCCCTCTTTCCACTGCGGAGGAGACACTGCCACAGGAGAGCCTGGGGAACCCCCGAGGGCTTGCCGCCCCTGGGTCACGGGGGGGGCGGGGTGTAAGGGGAGGGCAGCGCCCTGCAGCCAGTGGTTCTGGGGGAGCCCCGCAGGCCAGAGTGAGGGCCGGCCAGGCAGGCTTCTCGCAGGAGGGGGCGCGGCACCTCAGCTCAGTCGGGGATGGGGGGACCAGGCCTCACCAACCCCAAAGGGCAGCGCCACCTGGCCACCCCTTCCTGTCCCTCCCTCCCGCCTTTTTTTTTTTAAATAAAATTTTTAATATATTTTATTGATTTTGTACAGTGAAGAAGGGAGAGAGAAAGTTAGAAACATCGATGAGAGAGTCATCAATCAGCTGCCTCTTGCACACCCCCTACTGGGGATATGCCCACAACCAAGGTACATGCCCTTGACCGGAATCGAACCCGGGACCTTTCAGTCCCCAAGCCAACGCTCTATCCATTGAGCCAAACCGGTTTCGGCCCTCCCTCCTGCCTTTGCCTGCCTCACACTCGCCCCAGCACTTCCAGGTCCCAGGTGCACATGTGTGTGTGTGGGGGGCTTGCTGTCCCCCCTCCATGGGAGGGCCACCCCGTGGGGACCGGTCTGTCCTGTCGCTGGTGTGTGACCAGCACGGAGAACCGAGGCCTGGCACACAGTAGGCGCTCAGTAAATGCTCCTCCAGAGCCACTGTGCTCCCGTTGTGCAGAGGGGAGGCCCGGGCTCCGGCGCCCACCATCGCCGGGCAGGAAGGGACGGAGGACGCTGGCCCCATCGCTGTGCCCCACGCCCACTGCCCTGCAGACTTCCCGGCCCCGGGCACCAGCCCGTCCTGGCCGCCCCGGGCGGCGGTGCTGACAGGCGGTTGCATCCTCGGACGGGGCGAGGCTGTTGCCCAATGCCTCCTCCTCCCCAGCTCCATCCTCCCCGGGGGCATGTGGAAAGAGAACGTCCACTTTCCTCCGACAAGGAGGGGGAGGCCGGGCCGGGGTCTCGGGCCTGAGACGATACGATATTCAGTGTCGGACCATCACGCTCCGTGCGGGCGCGGGCGCGGGGGCGGGCGCGCTCCCGTTCTAAAGCTGGGGCCTGGGGGCCGGTGGTCTCCGCCGAGAGGAGGCGCCTCTGACCCCCGTGACGCTCAGCTGAGCAGGGCCTGGCCTGGGCTCTGCCCGCCTTCCTCCGGCCACCCTGGGCCTGGGCACAGTCCGTCCGTCCATCCGACCGCTCCGGAAGCTGCGTGCGTGCGGACGGGCTGGGGGCTGAGTCAGCGCCCCCCCCCCGCCCCCCCGCCGGACATCAGCCGAGCCTCCTGGGCATTCGCTGGGAGCGTGCCAGGCAGGGCATCCGGTGACACAGTGAGGCTGGGCAGCACCACGCCCGGCCCTGGGGAGCCGGAGTCCCAGGAGGGGGACCCGGGCACAGGGCACTCCGGCTCTGCGCGGGGATTGGCCGGAGGCTGAGCAGGCCACCGCCTGTCCACCCCGCCGCCTCCGGGGCCGGGCGGGCGTGGGGCTGGTGGGTGTGGAGGGAGGGGCAGAGGTTCCCGTTCCTAGAAGCCACGGGTGACCTCCCGCCTGCCCCGTGGCTTCGGGCAGGGCCGGCGCCAGCCTTTGAAGGCCCCGACCTCCTTCCCCTCCGATTACCCGGTTCCGGCCGCACCCGAGCCCCTTTCCTCCTTGCTGGGATGGGGGAGTCCCGCCCCCTCCCGCCCTCTCCAGGGCCACACCGGCCTCTCTCCTGCACGGAGCGTGGCTCTGCTCCCTCAGGCCGCCCCGAGAAAGCAAGGCCAGGGCGGAGGCCAGGAGGGAGGGCGCTCAGGGCCCAGGGACAGGGGGGGGGGGGGAAGCAGCCATCAAGCGGCTGGTGGGGGGGCGGGGGGGGAGCCCCGGGGAGCCCCTTTGGCCTCTGGGCCTTCCGGAGGCTCACCTCGGGGTGAAGGCTGGGGAGAGGCCGGGGCTGAGCCCGGCCCGGTGCTCCTGCCCCCCCCCCCCCCCCGCCGCCGCCTGTAGGTATAGCGCCGGCGCCTCTCCCACTGGCTCACGTTGCGTTTAAAGATAGATGAGGCCAGGCCACCGGGGCTGGGGCTGCACGCTCCCCGGAGGCAGGGAGGGGGCTGGCGGGCACACAGCAGGGAGCACGCGGCCCCCGGCTCCCTGCTCTACACGGGCGGGCACCCCAGCCTCAGACGGGTCCTCGGAGGTGGCCCCGCCCCACCCCCACTGCCACAGGGCACAGGAAGGAACAGAGGGGCCCAGGAGGTTAGAGGCCCCGCGGTCCCTGGCAGCAGGATGGGGGCAGGACGGGCAGAAACACAGAGTGAGGGCCTGAGCGCCCAGCACCAGACCCAGGGCCCTGCCCGGCCGCCCCCTTCCACCCCCGCCCCCGGGATCTCAGCCCAGCCTTCCCCTCTGGGCCTCAGTTTCCCCATCTGTGCCAAGGGACAGCGGCCGGCTCTCGGGGCTGCCGAGGTGAAAGGGACAGCGTGTGTGAGATGCCAGCGTCAGCAGCTCTGTCCAGGAGCTGCCCTCGGCACCTCACCCCTGGTCCACTTGGCCTCCGGGCCAGTCAGCTGCCCAGGGCTCCCCAGCCAGCCGGGCTCTGCCTGCCCCACCGCCCGGCGTGGGCTGCTGGCGAGGGGCCACCTCCCTGGGCCAAGGGGCTCAGAGGTGCCGCCCTCTGTCCTGCCTCTCGCCACTGGGCAGGCGGGGCCACACGCCCCGGGGCCGGCTGTCCCTCACTTGGAAGGCCATAACCTGCCTCTGACCGGGGTGGGGGGGGGCCCTCTGGGCTGACCAGCCTCCTTCACCCTCCCCCCCCAATTCGCTCACTGTCCGAGAGAGCTCCGAGCCACCTGCCGTCCCCCAGGACTGTGGCCGGGCAGGACGTCCTTCCCCTGGCACTGCCCATGGCGTCACTCCGGCAAACCCAGTCTGGGGGCCCAGGCTCGCCAATCCAGGGGGCGATGTCCCCTTGGTGAGGCGAGGCCGGGGGTGGGAGGCCGGGCGTGGGCTCTGCAGGGACAGGGCCGGGGTCCTGCCCGCCTGTGGCCGAGAGCCCCGCCCTCTTCTCCCCCCCCCCCACCCCCGGCTGCCGGCTCCTGGCCCGTGGGAGGCAGGGACTCGGGAGCCAGGCCCTCACCGTGGGCCCGGGCTTCACTTCCAGGGTCCTCAGTCCCAGAGCCACCCTCCGGGGGGACCCGGGGACCCACACAGGCCTTCCCGGGTCGCCCTCCCTGCTGGAAGCCAGGTGGTGAGGTGAGACA